TTGATTTGTACAAAATACAGAACTTATCTTTTAATCGTGTATTATCGTTCTAATGAAGCCGAAAGATAATCTTAATTCCACAGAATGAAACTTTTACACTCATCTTCACTCTCACTCTTATCTCTATTCTTTTCGCCTTCAAGTCCTTGATTTGACATTAACATAACAAAATAGGATTTGCATTAGTATTCTAAAAATTGTGAACAAAAAAGTCTTGTCAACGGTTACTTGTTTTTTTAAATATTGTGAGAAATTCTGAGTTTCTATGAAGGATCAAATTCAAAGAGATAAATTCTTAATACAATGAGTTATTTTCACATTTCGATATCTCAATGAAATCTTATTGTAGTCTAAAAATAGAGTTAATCAGCTTGAACATCGGAAGATACTTTATCCATAAGCCTATATTCCATAAATTTAATATTGTCTTAGACAAATCTACGATTAGTCGAACGTTTTCAATTGAATTTATTTGTTTTAAGTATCAGTAGCTGATTGTTAACAATAAATTGATAGAGGATTCGATGATCTGTTGTTGATATCTAGGAGTACTTTTCACATTTATTCAAAGGTCATATCCTAAATATTTAGCTCTAAAAGACCCAATAGTATTCATGTAATTTTACTAGTAAATAAATTTATTTCTATTTGTTAAATTCATTTTTTTTCTCACAAAACTAATCTAGGTAAAATGTTCGTAGATGTACGAGTGATTTTCAAATATCTTTCCGCTATAATATTTCAAAACGACAACAAGTACGACTCTAAGAACAGAAAGAAAAATGTATCCTTTTTCAATTATTGTGGTAATGTGAGATTATATTTGTTCTAACAATGTCATGGATTGAAGCGTGGTAAAAACACGCTATCTTCATTTACTAAGATTCAGTTTCAGATTTATATATAACCCATAGGTGTCATTCTAGGTTCATATGAAAATCATCTGATTCGCCTAATCTTTCATTAGTATCACATGATGAAATATAATACGATATCAAAAGTAAGAATACATGATTTTAGTAGCTATATAATATTCAGTATTATTTATTCATTAATCCATCGAAACAGTATAACGATACTACTCATATTGCTGTTTTGAAATAATTTATCCTTCGTAGGAGTGTCCTAAGGAGCTTTGTAAGGGGATAAGGACGTGACATCAACAGTAAAAAGCCTACTTTCAGTTTGTGAAAACTGTTCAATCTACATCATCTCTAAGTATTTAAATGATTTTGAAATAATTGATCTTTCGTTCTCTCTCTGAGAACATTCCTGACCCTTCGACTATTCGACGTGAGTTCAAAGTACATATAAATTTTATGATTATACAATAATTGATGATAAGTTTAAAAATGTTTAACTATTCCATATCTTCATAGTTATATCTTTTCATTTCATGAGAAAGCAAAAACACTGTAACAGAAAACTTCATATATGATTTTGATCAACACAGAAATAGATATGCATTGGTTCCAGTTACTTGAACATTAGTTTGCCAGCCATAGAAAAAGAATTAATAAAAATTAGTGCAATTACACTGAATGTGTAACTAGTCCAAGTGAGATGCAGTTGACCGGCCAAACTATGACTAATGCATAATCATACGAGTAGAAATGCTCAAAATATAGATGACGATTCAATCTCTACTTCTCTAACTGAAATCAATCGATATGATGAATACTCAACAAATTGGTAATTTGGTCAAATATCGAATACTTCACATACGACTACTACTGGTGTGATATGTTTTACTTGAATTTGTAATTATAGTGAATGGTTGTTTGAAACGACTGTTACAAATTCTAGAAATCGAGATTATAAACTTCTCATGAAATTGATAGTTTGTATTTTAAAAACGGATACTTGTCTGTGTGATACTAATATTAAATTTATTATGATTTATGGTAGATAGTTGAAAAAATTTGTCGACACAAAAAAATATGTTTCTAAATAAATAAAAGAAGGATTTGAAACCAGATGAAAGTTCTTGTTAGAAAGTAATGAAAATAAATATAATTTAATTTATCAGATTGAATATTTAAGAGGAAAATAAAATAGTTTTGGAAAATTTGAAATATTTATTCATCTTAGAAATTTCTAGTGCTCGTATATTATGATAAATTATTCTGTTGGATATTAATGCATTCATCTATTCTATAGTTTATTGAGAAAGATAGCAAACAAAAAAAAGAAGATGAATATTAAGAATAAACAAAAAAATAATAAAGAAAGAAAAACAACTAAATAAATAGAAGAAAATTATAATCTTTTCTTTTTAGGTTTTTTATTTTTTGCTGTTGTTGGTTGATTTTGTCGAGGATTTTGATCGAGTAATTCCAAAATTTTATCTAAAATTTTTTCATGTTGTTTATTTAAAAGATTTTCAACAATAGTTGTTTGTTGTAATAAATCTGATTGTTTAACTGTTAAACTTTGTGTTATTGTTTTTGTTTGTTCTTGTTCATTATTTGATATAATTTGTTTTAATAAACGTATTTGTTCTTCACTTTCATAATTACATTGTTCAAATTGATTTATTTGATCTTTAATTTGTTTGAATTTTAATTCAAGTTCTTTTATTTTATTTGAATCTGTATTTGAATTTTGTTGATCAAAATAATTTTCATTCATTAAACGTTGTAAATTATATTTTGTTTTCATTTCTTCATATTCTGAATATTGTAAATTTAATGATGTTTGTAAAGTATCAATTTGTTTTTGTGCTCGTTCAAGTTCTGATTGAAGTTGATTAACTGTTGATGTATCATTTGGTACATAATTAATATCAAATATAGAATGTGGATGTTGTTCTTGTAATGTACGTAAATATTTATTTTCAGATTCAAGATTTTTTATTTTTTGATTTAACTGTTCAATATCATTTTGATGATTTATTTTTGCATTTTCTACTATTGTCAAATATCTTGAAATTAAATCAGCGGAACTAGAAAATTTATTGGCTGTATATGTAGAAGTTGATGATAAGGAAAGACGATTTGTTGTTGTTGCCATTAAATTGTATAATTAACTAAAACAAACAAATAGAGAAGTTTTTCTTTTCTGATGAAATATTGATTAAAAAGTTATAACTTTTTTTAGGAATCTTAGGAAAGTTTTAAATTATCTATACGAACAGAATCTACATTGTAATATTCTACTATGTCAGAAGTGTATTCGAACAATTTCTAATAATTGTAACATTGGGATATAGTTTTCATATCTATTTAAGCTTTTTGAGAGACAAAGGAGGGTTGGATATAATTTTCCTACATACTAATGAATTATTCTTATTCTACTAAATTTTCGGCATTAAATTCGACGCTTTTTTTTTAACTCTCTAAATTTGTTTTGTGTCATAATAAAAATCAATCGCTTTTCAAACCTAATGAAAGAAATTTTCTCAAAAGTTTTTATTTTTCTAAAATGAAAAATAAAATTCAAAGTTGAAGTACAAAAAAATTAACTTAACATCTCATTGTAAAAAAAATCCTTAGAAACTTTTATCATCTCAAATTTTCGCGAGCATAACAACTATCTGGCATACAACAAGATTCCTTTTGGGATATACGATAAGAATATCTACTAGACTATACTCATACCATGAAAAAAGTCTTCGACAATAGAAAATAATTTCCTGCATGATTTTGTTTTCATTCCTTAGGGATTGACATGAATATTTCGTAAATAAAACCAATGATATTCCTACATGATGTGTTTTTATTTCATTCCATCAAATACAAATGACGGTAACACAGAAATAATAACAAAAAAACAACAAAAAACAAAAAAACAATGAGGAAATTTTGTTTCTCAAACACAAATTGTTTTTATTCTTCTTTTTCTTATTAATTCTTTTTTTTTCTTGGTAATTTTAAGTAAATAATTTTTCAATATTTTGTTTAAGTGTTTGAATTTGTGCTTTTAATTGTGATCCTTCATTAACAGTTATACTTGCACTAATAACTGGTCGTGTTACACCACAAGCACGACCTAATGCTTGTTTACTACGTACAAATACGTATGGAACATTTTTATCTTCACATAATAATGGCAAATGCATTAAAATTTCAATAGGTGTTGTATCAGCAGCCATAACTAAATAAAATCATTTTTTATTTCTTCTAATAATCTTTTTAACTTACTTATCAATTCTGCTTTACCACGATTAAGTGTTTTAGTTGCTTCATTAGCACCTTTACGTAATTGTCGCTATAGAGACAAGAAACAAAAAAAAAATTAATTTTCATAAAAATAAATAAAAAACAAAACTTACATAATTTTGTGCTTGATGAACAAGATCAAGAATATCCTTTGTAAGTTTAGCATCAGCTAATGGATAAGCTTTTGGATTAACATCACTTTCAGCAGACATGATATTTTCTTATTATTTAAATAGAAATAATCTAAAATTTAAAATAAATACTTTTATCCATATTTAAAATTTTTTTTTAAAGAAAACAAAAAATTAAAATTAAAGAATTTCAAATGAAATCTATTAAAGCACAAGTTTAGGTAATACAAATAAATGATGAAAATCTTCCAAATCATATGTATGTCTCATTGTTAAATCAGTTAATCTTAAACCACCAATACGCTAAAAAGAGAAAACATATAATTTATTTTTATCTTAAAAAAAAAAAGTTTTGTTTTACTTTTAATCCACATGTTAATGGTACAAGTTGTAATTCAATATCATATGTTTGATGAGCTTCTAATTTTTCTAATTGTTTACTAACAACACCAATCCATAAAAATTGTTCACGTGTAGAAAATGTATTATCAAAACTTAATGATAAATCCATTGTACGTTGTGTACAATTTAAAATTCGAATAGAAAATTTTTGTGCCTCTTCAACATAACATTTACCTTGACCACGTATTAAAAATACACGTAAATCAGGTAAATATCCAAGATTTGTTGTTGTTATTGATGGAGTCTATTTTTATTCAAGTAAAATATAATTTACAAAAAAAAAATAATATGAAATTTTTCTTACAGGTTTTGGTAATTGATTTGTTTGTAAACGACCACGTTCACCTAAACCAGACATCCAAACAATATCAAGTTTACCTAATGTTGGTGTTGAATGAAGTTGTTCAAAAGTAATATTATTTCGTGGTGTTAAATAAAACATATATGTTGCTGTTTCATTTGGACGTATGAAACGCCATGGTTCACAAAGAGAACTAAAATAAAGAAAATATCAAAAAAATTAAAATAAATAATAAAATACCTTTCAGAATGTTCAGAATTTTCATGATGAAGATTACTTAAATTTTTTATTGTATATGAATTTGATGGTTCTAATTCAACAGTTCTATCAAAAAATTTAATATTTTTGGAAAAGAATTGTTATTAGAAAGAAAAATAACGAACGTCATATTTAAAATTGATGGTGTCTGATTTTGAATATCAGCAACAACATAATATTCATCATGCTATTCAGAAAAACAAAAACAAATGTGAAAAAACAAAAAATTAATTTTTACCTTTGCACCTGGAATAAATCGTGTTTTTAAATCTATTGGTTTACCAACCTAAAGTTATATTTTATAATTATTTTTAAATTTTATTTGTTTTTTTTTCCTTACCGGCAATTTAAATACTTTTTTTAAATTATATTTTTCGCCATTTTGATCGACACATGTCACAGTACATACTAGACTAAAATATAGCAAATTCATATTGTTTTAATTTATAGCAAAGATGGCATCGGCCTGAAATTCATATCGTCATCAGTTCCATTTCTGTAGTCTCTTAATTTGTCGAAAGGATATAGATGAAAAATAATTAAATTCTTTCATTTTGTTTTTTTTTTTACAAATTGACTGATCTCAGTTCAACAACGATTTCTAATAGAGCAGAAAAATAGATAAGGAATGTCAGTAATCGATCGGCCTAAAGTTCATACCGGTATTTAGTCTTTTATTCATTGTCAGAAGTGAGGCTGTGTTCGTATGAAGATCGTGCTGCCCTTCTCTCAGGATTTTAAATCATCTCTCCAAAAGCGAAAATCTTGATAAAACACTAACAGTACTGGCTTGATCGGTAACAAATACTGGTTTCATCTCTAATTTATAGATATGATCCAATTTTTTTTTCTGAAAATATCACAAAGCTTTGTATTTCTTAACCCATCGATAGAGATAAAATCGACTTGTTGATAAATTCTTTCATTTCTCTTTGAAAACTGAAACAAAAAAATATATAAAAAGGAATTATCATAGATTTCCGTTTATGTGGCTCAATCTTGCACATGATTTGTACTACTATAATGAAAAAAACACATGGTGTTTTGCAGATTAATCTACCATTTATATTTAAATATATTTATTAGAGACATGACCAGTACCGTCTAATTTTGATTCTGATCAGAGATTTTCTATGAATATCTATTTAGTGAACATATTTTGCTACTGTAGTGAAAATGTAATCTTTTTACAAATACAATCTAATCTAACGATTCTCAATATTCTTTTTAATACTTACGAATGATTGCCAAGTTCTTTAACTTCATGTTGTAAAACTCGACATATACTTTGATCAGGTGCTAATTCAATTTTATTTGAATCATTTTGATCGTTTGAATTAAGTGTAATACGTTGTGAAGCTGTTTGAATATCTGTCTAAAATAAAATATTCAACACTAAGAAAAAAATCAATCAATTTTATCTTCTAATTAAATTTACTTTAAGTATAACATCTCGAAGTATTTGATCACTTTGGTTATGCAAGGAAACAATTGCAGAAAATATTTCACCCAAAAATACATTTCTAAAATAAAAGCAAATAATTAAAAAAATCAACCTAACAAATATATATATATAAACTAACCCAAAACTATATGGAAGTACAAGTAAATGACTTAATACTGAATGATCATTCCCAATAGCTATATCATGTGATTGACCAGCAAGAAATGCAGCTGCAGATGATGAAGATTCTTCTTCAGCATAAACTGGTATATTTTGATATAGCGTCGGTTTTGATAGACGCATTACTATAAAGAAAAATCTTTTTTTTCTTTGCTTTTCCCCCTCCAAATAAAATTAACCTCGAACAGCAAGTGGTTCAGCATTTTTGGTTGAATCTACTGTTGTAGTTGTAGCTGCTGTTGATGCATGTGGTGGAGCTGTTGTATTCGTTATAGATACTGACATGATGATTTACATATCTAGAAATAATTCTATTTTTAACAATTTTCTTTTCTTTTGCTCTTGTTAAATTTCTATGCAATTTTGAAAAAAACAAATAACTAACAATCACAGAAATATAACTAAAAATTATTTGTTAACAATATCTTCTGACTTATTATCATCATCTTGAATATTATTTGTTGATTGAATTTCAATAATATTAACTTGATTTTTTTTCTTAATAGATTGTAATGTTGTTATTTTTATTTGATCATTATTATCACTTTCATCAGAAGTATTATCAGATTCTGATGATGTATCAATAGTTGGACAAAACATTAAATCCATTTCAATTGTTTGTTCATCATTTTCATTATCTTGATCAGAATCTAATTCAATACGAACATTTTCACCTGATTTGATTTTTGAAAATAATGTTTTATTAGCATCAGTTAATAATGGAAGAAAATGTTTACAACGTGAAATTAAATCACTACTATCAATACGAATTGTTGATTGTTGAATTATTTTATTTGATAAATAATTCTTATTAGGAATTTCTTCGTCTTCTTCTTCATTTAAATAAACATGTTTAGCAACATTTTTTTTTAATACAGAAAAAAAAATCATTTGAACTATTGGATTCATTTTCATGACGTAAATCATCAAAATTCCATGAAGATGATTTTTTATCTCTCGATAATGATAATATGTCAGAAGATAGAACTAATGGATGAGAATCATCAGTCATCTCAAGTGCTAAAAAACAAAAATAAATTTATTAATTTTCAAAACAATGATTAAAACTTACGAAAATTTATGAACAAAGAAACTTTTTTTTTATTCGATATTCAATGGTTTATTTCAAATAACCAATCAAATTATAGGGACATGTACAAAATGCATTAATGAATTAAATATTAATGCAATATTCATTTTTCTGTTTAGATGTTGCTTAACAACGATTAAAATTTTAAAACTAAATGAATCTCATACTTCTTTTTTTCTTAGATTACGCGCGAAGGTTACCACTTTTATATTGATTAAAAACTATGACTGATTTAATGAATACATCAACACATTCTCATCATTATCCACCTAATCCAAATGAAGTTGTTGGTAATCGACGACCAGGACGTCCAACAAGTGCACAACAACGATCGACAACACCAACACGTAATCGACCACAACAGAATACAACTATAAATGGTTTAAATACAACAGCAAAATTAGAACAATCAATATTGAAACATGAACACGATCGTACAATGGCATTGACAAATTCAACAAAATTAAATGGAAAAGGAAAAAATCGTTTATATTCAACTTGGACACCTTTACAAGATGATGAAACAAATGCTCGAGTAAGATATATTTTTAAAAAAAATGTACACATTTGAAATTTTTTGATTATATGTTAATTATTCCGTTTTTGTAGATTTTAACAAGATGAGTCTAAATATAAAAGACTTTTAGAATTTCACTACTATAAATGTTTTGAATCATATTGAAGTATTGATAGTTTTAGGAGGATATAAATAGTGACCGTCGATAAACGACATCCAGGAAAAGGAGACAAATCGAACTTTTTCGGATAGAATCAGGGATAAGATGCATTTGGACGTCCGAACACTTTACGCATTTTTTGGCGACATTCTAAAGAACAGCATTTTGAAAAGAACAATTTCTTAGAATTCTACGACGCCTCATCTGCGAATAAAATAATCTATATCACTTATTCAATACAAAAAGATCGCTATATTAAAACAAAAATAGATTTTTTTCTATAAAGTTATTAGCACAATCCCTGTGGGATTAAAATGTGAAACACGGTATAGTTACTGTTGTTAATTACAGGGAGATTGTTTAATCTATCTATTTTGACATACATTTCTTTACGACACTTTTACTTAATCCTTGGAAAATGCAAAAAATGACTTGTTCATATTATTGGAACGAGACGTTATTGATAAACGGACTGTGATGAGTCACTCCTTACGTATCTGTAAAAGGAATAGATAGGAATGGGTCTAAATTTCTACTTTTATACTTCAACACTCCGTTTAGATTGTGTTTCACAAAGACTTTAGAAAGCTGCATATCCGGGAAGTTCAGGAAAAACTGAATATTCTTGATGGATGGGCACATAAGAAATTATAAAATTTGAATGTATGTTGTATTCCATTTTGTTGATACTGTAAAATCCTCAATCATTTATGTTCAAATATGATCATGATCTTGCCGTATGAACGAAAGCTATCTTCCTATAAGACACATTCATTTTGAGAAACTTAAATATTTTTCGTTTAGTCAAATTTTACAATGTATATCAATGACCAAAAATCATATAAAAACCAAGTAGACACTCGGGATGATTTCTTCATAGAATGAGAAGAAGAACTATTTTCAATTGTGTACTCATGTTAGAGATTATAAAATAATTCTATCTTCTCTAAAAGACATCTGTGCTTAAAATTTGATTATTCATTTGAAAATTTTATTTCAAAAACTTAATGAAATTCTATAATGTTTATATTTTTTGTTTTTAGTTATTTGATGAACGTAGACAACTTGCGAATAAATGGGTATATATGTTTTGATGCTATTTTATTTCATATTGAATTGAAATTTTTCGTTTAGTTTGAAAAATGGACTGATGATCAACGTCGTATTGCACTTGAAGATTTATTCGCTCAATGTCGTCCTCGTCAATTAACATATGCAAGAAATTTATTAACAAAAAAATTTCCTGCTCAACATGCAGATTTTACTCGTTTATTTCCACGTGTACTTTGTCTTTATATATTTTCATTTCTTGATCCACGTAGTCTTTGTCGTTGTTCACAAGTAAAGTTTTGTTTCGTTTTTTTTTCTATTTGTTGAACTTTATTTTTTCTTCAAAGACATGTTGGTATTGGAAATTTTTATGTGAATCTGATCAAATCTGGATGCCGAAATGTCTTCGTTTTGGTTGGACACCAAAACAAAGTTCATCACCATATGAAAGTAACGTTTGGAAACGTGTCTATTCATTTAATATTCAAGCATTACAAACAATGCCTATTCGAGTATGAAAAAAGAAATTTTTGTTTGTTTGTTTGTTTTTTCTAAAATTAAACAGATGAATAATGTATTAATACCATTATCAACATCTAATATCAATTTAAAAAGAAAAATATCATCTAATGAAAATGTATCAATGATTGATACATATGTACAAACAATATGTACAGGAGATTTGGTTCGACAACAATTTGTAATTAAATACATAGAAGCTATTCATTTGCGTTATTAGTTTATTTCGCAGATTGTTTCGAAAATTTTTGTTGATTTTGTGAAACATCCAATGTAATTAGTGTTTTATAGAAAGAGAAATTCGAATTTTTCTTCCATTTGAAGATACTGTCAATCTTATATTATATTCATAGAAAAGATCTTACGAAAAGATAATCTCTAATTAGATTTTTTGTTATATTGATTAACAGTCAGATTTTTCAGTTAATATTTTCTGCTGTAAGAGAAAAGAATATCCTCTTTATGCATATAGATCAAATGAATGGTAAATGAAAATCTATCACGTTAGATTTCCATATACAAAAATTATGAGGTTGAATTCTTTTAAACTTGTTTTTATTCTATAAACATTAACCTATAACTAAAATATAAAGTGAAATATTATCAAACAGTTAAAGAAAAATTTAATATTTTCTTATTTTAAATAAAATAATTTTGAAATTTGTTCTCTAATAGACCTATTCTCATCGTTCACAAAGTGGTTATTATGATGATCAATTATCTCCTCATGAAGATACTGCTCGTACACATTCAACTCGTCATCAACATAATCAATCTCATTTATCATCATCAACTTATCGTCGTTTAGAACAACCACCATGGCGTACTAATAGGTAAGAAAATAATATTAATTAAAAAAAATCAATAAAATTTATCTTTATTTAGTCGAAATCCAAGTGATACACTTCGTTATAATTATTTGGATAATGATGATAGTGCACTTGAATCTTTAATTGCTAAACATCGTAAATATGGAACAAGTATTCTTCAACAAACAGAATCTGATCATGAATTAAAAAATACCAATAAAGAACAACAAACACGTAGTCGTACTAATGAAAGATATGAACATAATGGAAGAAAACGACGAAGTCAATCTTTGGTATGATTTAATATTCAATATTTTTATAAAATTATTTTCTTTTTTTAAATAAAAGAGTGCTCGTGGTAGTCCATCAGTCAGTTTTCGTGATGAACATACATCAAGAAATTCTAATCATAATCATTCATTTTTGGCTCGACCTCCATCAACATCAGGCATTGTTAATCGACCTGTAGATATTCCTCGACCACCATCATCGGCTCAAAAATTAAAATATACATCAAAAACATCAACCAATGGTAAAATAGATATTTTGGTTTTTTTATTAAATTCATTTATTTTTTCTAGATATAGCAAATCGAACATGGCATTCAACAAATAATTATAATGATGTTGATGAATAATTTTTTATGTAATCATTTTAAGTATTTTCATTTGGCAATATCATTTTAACAGACAAAAAAAACAAACATACATGTGTATTTCTTATTGTTGCCATTTGTTCTTCTTCTTTTGATTTTTTCAAAGAAAAAACAAAACATTTCTGTATGTGTTGTATTGTTGTTTATTAATTTGTGTAGTAGACATTTTTCTCATTGTTTATGTATCTCTAATATGTGTTGTTTGTGGGAATGAATAGTTGTGTTTATTTCAATGAATGATTAATTGAATCTAGATTTCAACACACTCACACACACATTTTGTTTTGATTTATAAATTCTTTCAATAATAATCTTTGTCTTTGTAGTTTGTTCTTAAAATCATAAAACATTTTCGTGTATTGTATGCCTTAGAAATATGTATGTAAGAATATCATATGAAAATTCGATGCTATTATTGAATTATTAATCAACAGAAAAGCATGACATCTAAAGGAATATTATTTATGACTGGCTCAATAGAAATGAGTAACATGAATCATTTTGAAAACATGATATTGCACGTGAATATCACGTGTCTCAGTACAAAATCTTTTGATAGAAATAAAAGAACTTAAATCAATATGTCATCGAACGCTGCTCATCAATCGAATACTAATGCTCAAATTAATGAACCACCACGTTATGATAAAGATCGTACTACTGAAGGTGTTCCAATGAATGCTAATGAATTGGCCAAAAAATGTACATCACAAAATTGTGGTCATGATGCTGTTGGTGGTGGTACACAAGAAACACGTAATAATGATTCTAGTAATCGAAAATAGAATCAATATTTTTATTTTATTGTAATAAAAAGAAACGAAACAGAAAGATGAATAAAGATTAAAGAATATTTCAACTTATTAAAAATTATCAAATATTTTATCATTTATAGGATTTTTAAGTGGTGTAACTTCAATAAATTTTAAAGGATAATTTGTATAATCAGTTAAATTCGATGGAATATAGAAAGCAGGTATAGATTGTTGTTCGAGTTGTTCAAATGAATATAAATATTGTTGAAACCATGGATGATAACGAATATCTAATGAATTATTTATTGTACAACCTAATCGTTGAAGTGGATTACGTGTTAATAAACCTTGAACAAAATTTGCTGATATTGTTGTAAATATTGTAGATTGAAAATAAATAGGATTATGAAGTATAGCATCAAATAAATCTTCATTATTTTCACCATCGAATGGTACAATACCAGTTAATAATTCATAAGTTAGAATACCTAATGCCCAATAATCAACACATTTATCATATCTAATAGTAATAAAAGAATGTGTAATCTTTATTTAATAAATTACTTTTTCTGCAGAATTATTTCTGGACTCATAAATTGTGGTGTACCACACATAGTTGATGTTGATTTATTTATTCGTTTAGCAAAACCAAAATCAATTAATTTTATATATCCTCGATCTGTTAAGATAATATTTTCAGGCTGAAGAAATTAAAAAAAAAGACAAAGAATTTTATCAAATGATATTTTATATCATGTTTACTTTAAGATCTCGATAAATAATATGACAACAATGTAGATATTCGAATGCTAAAATTATTTGTCCAATATAAAATCTCGTATGATCTTCATTAAGTCGTTCATGTATTTGCATATAAGAAAAAAGATCTCCTGAAATTATTAAGTAAATATTTTTTTGTAACACATGATCTAAAAGCAATGTTGAAGTATAGAGATAGAATTTTAGATCTATTCTCTCTTCACTGATCGTCATGGATATTAACAAGTATTAGCAACAGAGAGCTATTTTTCATTTAAGAGTCATTCTGCTTTAGCCATAATCGGTCTCCATAGAAGCTGCTCAATCGATTGTCGTCGATTTGGCTAATTTTTAATATTTTAATTGTTTTGAGGTCACTATCACAAAAAAAAATGCACATTTTTTGTGATACCCTCTCTATAGAAGTTAGAATTGTATGATTGTAAACTACATGTTGAGTACTACAAGATCCTGCAAGAATGACTTGAAATGTTGTAGAATAATCGGCGGAATCTTATCAAAAAGGAGCTTCAAAATAGCTCATTTTTCATGCTTAATATATGCAAATCATTCAGAGATTAACTCAATTAATAGAGGGTCATGTATTGATTTATAGTGAATAAAAAATTGTCTGATATATAGAAATTTTTGTGTTAATTTCTGAACGATTTGTGTAGATTAAACATAAAAAAGAAACATTTTGGAGCTAGTTTTTAATGAGATTCTGTCGAGTATTCTACGACATATCAAATCGTTCTTGCAGAATTTTGTGGTACTCAGTGTGTAGTTTAAAATCATACAATTCTGACTTCTATAGACGAGATTTTCTTCTAGATCGGTCGCTCCGAAAATCATGATTTTAAGCACAATCACGATTTTGACGAAGGTCTCTCCTGAGTATCAAGAGCCCTTTAGAAAGCTGAGATTTTCAACAGAGCGAGCATTCAATGAGACCTTACTGTGATCAAAATTTTAAGTTTTTCATCGTGATTCACTCATGAAATATGTATATGCATGAAATCCCTAAAAATGAAAATTTTTTCGTGTACATGATAGTATCGGTCAACTCATCAATGGTTTGTCTATTGAAGCTCATTTTTTTATAGTAAGTACCGGAATCTTAAAATTATTTACATTGAAAATGTCAAACCAAATAGATTTATTCATAAAGAGATATAGCTGTGATAAAAAGTCGCAAAAAACGTACTTTTTTAGCGATAGTAACCTCAAAAAAGATTAAAATATCTCGAGAACGAAATAATATTTTTCGAACGGTTTGTGTAGAATTTCATCAAGCACTTGCCTCTGTAACATATATAAAAACTAGCCAAATCGGCGACCATTGATTGAGTACGATCGGTTGTAGCTTACATGGGAATGGCTCATAAGTTTTCTTTTTGAGTAAAATGACAACTATATCCTGTTTCATATTTTAATCCCGCAAAAGTTGTACTGACAACTTTTTGGCGATGATAATAAAGAACTTTACCTCCAGCAATAAATTCAAGAACTAAATAAATATTTGATTCATCTTTGAATGAAGTAAACACTAAATAAATACATGAATGAAAAATTTTGAATTTTTGTAAGGAAAATTCTTCTAACAAACATTTAACAAGATTCGGATGATGACAACATTGTAAAATATCTCTTTCTCTTAAAGCAAATAGATGTGCTTTCTTTTTCATTAATTGTTGTTTACTTGTAATTTTTAATACACAAAGAAAATTTTCATGAATATTATCTTCATTATTGTACCTTCAAATCTTGATCGATTAACATAAGAAATAAATTTATATATAAGAGAAATTTATTTTACCATTTGACTAAATAAACAAAACCAAAAGCACCTTTACCCAATTTTTCAATAGCTTTAAAATTATTTGTGGAGATATTTGGATTACTCTTTTGTTTTTTTGACCAACAATAATCAAAATTTGTATAACAATTATTCATCATTCAAGTTTTTTTTTTTTATAATTGATTAAATTTCTCTTATTTGAAAATTATAATCACTAGACAATCGGGATATCTAATAAATAAAATAAATTAAGATAAGAATTACTAACAAAACAAACAGAAATTCATAATTTTAACAAATAAAACGCGCTATAGATTTTTCGATTAGTATAGATCATTAATTATGGTATTTGTTTTGATCTAGTTACTTAAAGAATCAACAATTTATTCTTCAATATAATAGAAGGAAGAAATATTCTAGTCGACATTACTATTATTACTTCTATTATTGATAATAATCAAGCAAAACAAATTTATAGAAAAATTTATTTAAATTGAAAAAAAGAAATTTCTAAACATAATAGTACAATTTCTTTTATCGAAAAACAAAATTCTTTTTTTTTTCTCTTGAATAATCAAATACTCTTGTTATCTATATTAAATCTCTAAGAACACATGACATGAGTTGGAGTAACTATAACGTTTGCTTGACCATCTTCAGTCGACATTGAGCAATTAACAGTAATAGTATGTAAAGTAGAATGAAAAAGAACTATTGGTACTATTTCAGAAGCTACACCTTGAAGAGTAATAATTGCTTGAGTTTTTTCTTTATTAGTAGTTATGGATGTAAATCTTTGTTGACTAACAGCTGTCCATTTACTCCATTCACCAAGAAGAGCATATTTCGTTCGAATTGGATCATTAAATTGCCATAATGGTGATACATACCAAAGACATATAGTTTCATTATTACATTTATTAGCTAAAACATCAAGAGGATGAGTATCATCGAAAATTGCTGTTATTTGTGCATTATCATATGACCAGATAATTCCTGATTCACTTCCAATCATAGAAGGATAAACTGTATAGTCTCGTTTCATAGCTGATGCAAAGATAATATGAAATGTTCGATCATTTCTAAAAAGAAATTAATTCAAAGATAATGAAGGATCAATAACAAAAAAACAAAATAAACCATCGATTAACTTACATAGTTGTTTGTGTTGAATAAAGTTCTCCTTGTATAACACCATTATAAAAAGCCCAGTCAGCAACTAATGTATTGATTGTTGTAAGTGGTCGATCAGGTTTTAAAATCAAACCATCTCGACGACAACATTTCATAATACTTTGTATATTTGCATAATCAATTCCATCACCTGGACCAACAGGACCTGTTGAAAGAGTAGCTATAAGTATTTCTCGCTCTGGAAGTATTTCCTTCGATGATGTTCCATAAGGAGAACCAGGTTGTAATGATGTTGACCAAAGAACATCTTTAAATGGTGCTAAACCAATAGCATCAGCAAGCATACTTGATATTCCAATATTCCATTGAGATCTTGTTGAATCTTTTAAATGAACAGCATAATCATCTGATACTCGTGCATGTGTAACACGTGGAATTTGAAGAGCTTGTAAAATATGACGAGGTAAACTCATACAATATTGGATATTCATTTCGGTTTGTTTAGCTGCTTCACCCATTGACATTAACCATTGTTCTCCAAGATTAATATCAACACGTGTTGGAAGAAAATCAATTGTTTGAACATTAAGCCAATCTTGTTCATATAAAACAAGACCCCAATTACGTGCTTCAACAAATAAATCAATCCAAAATGAATCGTTTCCAATAGGTAATGCTTTTCCATTACCAGGATCAAGAGCAAAAGCATATTTTTGTTTATAAACTGTATCATAGGACCAGTATCGGTTATGTGCTGCTAATGGAATATTTTCTAATCGACGATGTAATACTGCAAGACCATCAGGAAATACGTCTGGACGAGCTGTCCATTGTGAAACACCATTTCCAATACCTTTAAAATACCACCATGAATCAAGTTGAATATAATGAAATGGAAGAGGAATTTTATGTGCTACATTAAGCATTGTTTCTTCATAATTCATTCCGTCTTCTGTATGATAATAATAATAACCACCATTATCAGTATAATAACCTAAATAATTTATTGTAAGATCATTAAGACGATTTTCATTTGTTCGATTAAATGCTCGTTGCATTGTTTCACCCCATTCACGTATTCCTTCATTAATACCATTTTGTGAATAAAAAACAATCATTGAATGCGTATAATTAGCAGGTATTGATGACATTGAACCTATGATACCATATTCTAATATACTATCTAATATTTTATTTCTTTGAGTCAATGAAGTAGCCATAAAATGAGAAAATGGTGAAAGAACTAATACATCATCTTCTCCGCGTTGAGTTAAATTAAAAAGAACGACTGGACCACCTTGCATGCCTGAATTAATGACTCTACTTGATGCATTCCAATTACCGGCATGTTTACCAGTTTCACCTGACATTAATCCTGGAACAAAATTAACATTCAAAAATAATAATAATATAGCAAAGAAAAAAAAAAGCCTTAGATCTTACCTTCAAATGTGAAAAATCCTCTTTGATCATTCATATCTATTTTTTCAATATAAAATGATGGAAATACAGTACGAACTTGTTCCATATCAAGTGCTATTCTATCTGTTAAAGCATTATCACCTGTCTCCAAATGAAAAGTAAAAGCTGAAATAATATTCCATTGACGTATATGAGCAGAAATTGAAGTAGATGTTTGATTGCTGACAAGATCATATGTCAATGTTGTTTGATTCCAACTACCCAAATTTGGATCATCACCTTCTGCAACAGTTACATTGGTCAAAATAAGAGAATTATCCTCTGTTGAATACCATTGAGTATCAGTATATATAGCTGTACGAGATGAACGAAGCCATAATTGATTATTAACAGTAATATTGTATCCGCCATCTTCATCTATTAATATTCGTACATCACACCAACATCCAACTATGACAAGGAGAAACACCACAAGACGCATCTTCAACAAATAATATGACTAAGATAAAAGATAACTATAGTTTATATGCAGCTGCATGAGTGACAATGATAAAAAAATTAATTTCATTGGTAGAATATATACAGATGTTAAACAACATATGTGTACTTTAATCTATTTATGCAACGTCATTAAAACATAGATATGAAATTTGACTAAAAAATTATTTCCAAAAACACTTTAAAGTTATTTAATAACGATGGATCTTTATAAAAGAAATTACTCATAATCATGTAATGCTTTTGTTATTTTCATAAATGAATTTGTCATATTTTATGTTTGCATAGATTTTTTTTTGTAATCACAAACTTCTTTCTATTAGTTTTCTTACATTGAAGCAGGATCACGATTCTACATTATTTTTCTTATCATTTAGTATGTTTATTTAACATGTGCACGCACACCTTTGAATGTTACTTTCTCTGTACGAAACTCTTCATATCTATTTGGGATTGTACAAACTAAAAATAGAGATCGATATCAGATATCAGACATTTCATTTGAATAAATACTAATCAGAAAAAAAAATAGGAACAGTATTATCATGAGAAAAACACCAATGATTGACAAAAATAGTTTTAATCTTATTTAACTAATACAAGATATCCAACTCTAATTCGAATCATAACTAATGCACGAAAAAAGTAGTTCAAGTATATTTAATCATTCAAAAAAATATAATTCTGTTTTTTACTGATAAAGAATATCAAAAATAATTGATCTTCTATATATTATTGAAGTAAAGATATAAGTGGATTTTTTTTCCTGTTTAATAAATTAATTAATTGAATATAAATATATATAATGAAAATAACTCGATTTTCGATTATGAATATATATCAACTTCTTAAATCAAAATTATTTGAATTTCCTTGTTCGATTCGTAATAGACTTCTTGGTTATCAAGCTGTTCGTGAACCCGAAAAGATTATCAAGTCTAATTGAATAGAAAAAAATTTAAAAAATAGTATTTAATCAATCGTCAATCGATATTAAAAATGACAAACAACCTTCAACGAAATCTATTCGTTCTTATCGTAGATAAATATTTAAAACTTTTTATACAAATGATATATTTGTACCGACATACATAAATTTTGATTATAACAGTATCTCTTAAGCCAATCATTGTCATGGCAAAATACTTCAAGAAGAAACAACATATCTTCTTTATTCATAAAGATTTTGCAGATGAATAAACATTCATTTTAGAGATAATCTCATTTTCATCTGAAAAAAAAGTCTTGCAAGAATTAGACCTTTTCTTCAATCATCGAGCAATTTCTACCATAAATTATTTGAGTATAATAAAGAATTATCGACAATTGCTAATGAAGATCTCAGGGATTATACAACTTATCTTTCATAAAAACGAAATCAATAATTATTCATTGTATATTCAACGAATTGATAAACAATTATGTTAATGACTCTCTTGATCTTATTAGTGAAAATGTTTGACAAGTTAATTTTTTTCTTTTATGGTTAAATTTAACTACTAACTAATGTTCGTTTTCTTATTAAACAGGATACAATGATAAATGGATCTAGTTCATTTCAAATAGTATCTCATATTCTGCAACAAAATCATCTGAAAGAACTTCATGATGACTATATTATTAACTTGACCAATGAAGAATGTTATTTATTAATAATACAGATTGTTAACGAATATAGAAAATGGATCAAACTACAAGGAGATATTAACAGTGAATCGATAAACTTGACAAAGTACGTGTCATTGACAATATAGAAATAGTTAGATGAAAATTCCAATTATTCGAACAATTTCAATGATCCAAATAAGATAACTACTAATAAAATTCATGTCACAATGTCAAAAATAATCGAACAAATTGAAAACTATTCAAATATATTAGATGCTATGATCTACTAACTATGTTAGCGAAAAATAAATAATATGCATTCAATTAATATATATCATATACGAATGATATCTTTTTTAAGCATATTTCAATCAGACATATAAATTAGATTGAATTAGATATTAGAACAGTTGAATAGAATTCAATTGAAATTTTTTTCTTCTTCTGTTTTACTCTTGATTTTGATATAGTATATTCTATAAAAATATTCATATGTGAATACAATATCAGACTGATATAAATACTGAATAATTTTGGAATAAATCTAAACTACTTTCAACATTAATGAGATCTAATTGTATAATCATTATCAATAATATGAGCATTTCTTCTTACCTAATCAATTTAGTGATTCAGAGCTATTCAATTATTTACAGCTTTTTTCACTGATTTCTCCGGCATTTGAGAAATCCTCTCGCGTGTTATTCTTTTCCAAATAGTTTCAACTATATTTTATAGATCAATAAAAAAAACCATTTAATAGCTTTTTCTTAGATTTATCTTTTTCGGCAATCAGTATCCACACTACGTTTTTTTTTAAAAGTTTATTTCAAGTGAGACAAACCTTGATGATACTGACTGCATTTAAATATCTAAATCATTTTCATCTAATGTAATTTTTGATCTAATACAAATTGAAAAACTTAAATGATGTTATGAAGAGTAACCTCAATTTTGTGAACATCGTCCAAATGATCTGTCATATTATTGTCATACTGGTAACTTGTTTTTTTGACGCCTTCAAAGTCATCATTTAAGCTGCGAGTTATATATTTTTATGCTGTTTATCATCATTATAAAGCACTTTATGGTATATATTTTCCCTTTTGTAAATATAAGCCATCACTTATGATTCTTATCTTTACGAACGAAAAGTATTTCTTTGCATCTGAATAGAATTTTTATTTCATTAGAACGAACGACAAAAAAAAATAATGGTTTACATTGGGCCACTGTCTTTACTGTTTTCAGTCCTACTTATCATAGACATGTACAGTGAAATAATTCAGAATGATGTTATTATATGGATTGTCAAACCGCTATTAATGCCCGTATTGTTAGCTTTATTCTTATTAAATGCACATAATAATTTGTCTCTCGAACGACGATGTTTAGTGGTAGCACTTACTTTTTCTTGGTTCGGTGATCTATTACTAATACAGCATCGCAATGAATTATTTTTCTTTGGTTTAGTTTCCTTTTTAATTGCTCATATTAGTTATATTATTTCATTTATGGTTAGACTTCAACATGAAGGAGATAAATTAAGACGTCGATTAACTGTATCTGCCATGATAGTTGCATCGATTCCATTCTTAGCCTATATTACATTCATGCTCTACATACTTTCTCCAAGATTGAATACAGACATAGAAGAAACGAAAGATTTACTTGTACCTGTAGTTCTTTATACTATTGTGATCGTTGGTATGGCTTACACGTCTTATTTACGTGATAGAAAGGCTAGTGGCTTTTGGTCTGTTTTTGCCGGAGCAGTATTCTTTGTTTTGTCCGATACGATTTTAGCTTTTAACAGATTTGTCCAGCCTTTACCTACACCGGGCTTATTTGTTATGTTCACATATGGTATAGGCCAATATTTAATTACAATCGGTACTTTACAAGTAACTGCTAAAGACTCGAAAACTGCCTAGATTACCATTAATTTATTATTTCTTGTTTTTTAAAGAATAAATCACAAGAAATGCTTTAGGGTCTTTTTTTTTGAATTATTTATGGATCGTATTGACTTCAAATTATTTATTTAATTTTTCGATAGAATTACTTTTTGCCTAAAGTGACTTTTAATAAACAATTAGTTGAAATACGATTATATAGATATTTTCATCAGTTCAAAATAGCATGTATAGGAAGAACTAATATATCTTATAGTTCTTTTTGGCAAAACCTACATTAGATATATTCTAAAAACGATAGACATAATTCATAATCATTTTTCAACGATGAATCGTGTTTTACTAATCTCTGATCAGTCTATTCTATTGATTAATAGCAAATATCTTGTTATTGAAATATGTATATCGAGCACGATCTACGTAGTTAACAAGGTATCTGAAAATCGATCTGGAATATGGTAAATATCAGAATCAGCACATTTTAATTAATATTTATTAAATATAAAATTTTCACTAAAAAACTATTATGTTTCATGTACCATTAATGAACTCATAAAATTTATTATCATTCGGAGATTAAATTAACTGTCAAAGTTAATATATTATCTATTTGTTTCAATTTATAAGAAATATTATTAAGAGTAAATTAAAAATGATTATCTTAATCAAACTATAAGCAATAAGTCTATTTCCATTCGATTGAATATGATCATGTATTATCTTTTCAAGAGATTGATCAATATTAAAATAATCACCACTATTTAATCTTCTATCAATTGGTTGTTTTAAAAATTCTCTTGGATAATCTCTATCTAATGCATTAATATATAGTTCAAAGACATTTAAATTTAAATAAGCACTTGTTGGTAAATAATCAATAGATGAACTATCATTATTAATTTGATTATGATATTGTACAAGATCATTCCAGTTAAACGCTCCACCACCAGCATAGCTTGAACTTTCAAATAGATCATTATCATTATTATAATATCCTCCACCAATACCATAGATCTTTTTAAAATTTGAAGCATATTTTAATTTTGACAAAAATAAACTACAAGCACTACCGCAACTACCATCGGTTAAAACATAAATTGATTTAAAATATTTTTTATCAGTTCCATTTTTAATCCAATATTTTCCCGTACCAAATACTTGTCCATCACAATTAATAGACCATTTCATTGAATATTCATCTGTCAGATTACCTCTTGTATAATTAATATAAGGTTTCATCCATTCCATATTTGTAAACAATGAAAAATTTCGAAGATCTAATATTGAATCTGGAAATAAACTAAAAATTGTTGCAAATGCTTGTAACGGTTTAGTTATTCTACCGTCCATTGGTTCATATAAAAGATGAAGTGAGGAATATTCTGGAACTAAATAATTTAATAAACCGTAAGCTAAACAACTTTGTCCACCACGATTTCCTATTAAATCAATTATCAATGTTTCACCAGTAGCTGCTAAAAATATCTGTTTTACATCTTCAATAGGTTCTATATCAAATGATCCTAATCTGATAATTGAAGTATTTGTATTTTTGTGAATATAATAGTAAACATCAGTATTACCCATAATATAATTAAAATTATTATTTTTTTTCTGTTCATACCAATTTAATTTTTCTAAATTAGTTATATAATTAAAAGCATTTCTGGTTGTATATGTTAATGATAGAGAAAAACGATTCTCATTTTCTATATGACTTTGATTATCAAATTTTTTCGTAATTATTATGACATAGGGAAATGTTATTGTTGTTTCATCTCTATCTAAAAATGTAAATGTAATATTATTTTTTAATGGTAATGGATATTCTGCAAGATTTTGTAACCAAAATTCTTCTCGAAAAACAGAATTTAATCTTACACTTGAATCTTTACTCATAATAGAATATTTATCAGCAAAGTTTTTCATATATTCTAATGCATTTATACCATCAATCTTAGTTACGATTCGATTTGTATAATTCATATTTAAATTATTTCCAATTATGGAAGAATATAAATTAATTCCAAATTTAACTTTTATTTGTTTTGTTAATGGTAAAAATTCGAAAATAAATGGAAATAATATATTAAATTGTGCATAACCATATGGTGCAAAATATGTGGTATGAAAATCTTTTAATTTTTTAAAACAAGATGTTACAGCCATATGAAAATCATAATTATTTTTATATATATTAATATTTGATTGATGAAAAATATTTGATAACTCTTCTCGAAGATTGACATTTATATAGTATGGATAATTACTTTGACGAACTAAACTCAGAAAACTGTAGAAGTCTAATGAGTTGAACAATTGTTTCATTGTTGCATTTATTATGGAATGATTTATTGAAATATTTTCAAAGCAAAGTTTTACTTGATCAAGTGTTGCATAGGACCATGTAGATGGAAGTTCAGGAATGGTTGAATTAAATGTGCAGAAATTTAGTTGATCTTCAATTGAAAATCCATAAAGTAAGAAAACTATTAGTAGCAATAATATTGTTCTCATTGTAAGAATACAATGATCTGTCAGATTCGAGTGGCGAAAGAAATTAATTAATTTTTATTGTGTTCAAACTTTCACATGGCGAGTCATGTCTAAAAAATAAAAAAAATACATGATGTGTTTACTTTTCATTTTTACAAGAAATGGAAAATTTGATTTGAATTTTATCATATGAGTCCTCACATGTTCTACGCAAAAATAACGTTAACGTTTTTTTTGTATTCTTTCATTTAATATAATCTACCTACAATTACGATAGCAAACATAGTTTTTGATAGAGAAGCCCATATTCGCTTAACTCAGATTTATTTGTCACCGAAGCGCTGATTTATATTTATCTAACGATCAAAAAACCGACCGGATTCAGTGACATAAATAAAAAGCGTGCGTTATTTAAATATTTATGTTGGTGTAAATATTGACGGAGAAAACAATATTATTAAAACACAATATCGATACTGTCAAAATAATAACTCAAGAAAAACATATTTTGAAGATTATAGCATTTAGCTGATGTTTTATTGAAGACAATAAGTCAGAACTAAAAAAAAAATACTATTCACATATTTTATGGTACTCCATATCTCACGAAGAAAAGACAAAAGTGACTATTCATATTGTAAAGGTGTACCTATATCTTACTGAATATATAATTCTTCCTCCATAGCTTCCTTCACACCCACCCGTTCGGTTAAACTATTTAAAATACAAAAAAAAAACAATTTTCATTACTAAATCTGTTATTCAAATTTCTACTTTAGCTAAAGCGTTGACTTTGTTTTGGGTCGTACGACTAATATTTATAGATGAGAGGCTCACCAGTTGTGCAAAGTACTTCATAAAAATTATAAACGAGATATTCTAGATAAATGCTCATGGAACTGTAATGAACATGCCTGTCGACAAACAGGAAGAATGAGAACATGAAAGTAATTGGTTTTTTTCTGTTAATGAAGCCTTTCAAGATGTGAAAATATGATAGATGAGTTTTGACCATTTGATAATGTTTTGAGCAAACAAGTGAATGAGATACAGTGTATCAAAAAAGAAATCATGTTGATATTTTATCACTTCAAACTTCAAAACATGTTTTTAGAATAACGAAGGACATGTTGGTATGCTATCAAATCTTAGATGAGTCACATTTTTTTGCCAAACTCTGCTTGAGTTATGCACTCGATTTATGGTTTTGAATCACTGGATCCCGTGCAATAACCTAGATACCGAAATATTTCAAATGAAAGCTCATAATCGAATGAGACACTTCCTATTAGGCGCAAGTTTCTGTAAACATATGTTTTAGACTGAGAATGTTTTGCTTGTGCTGCTCTCTAGAATGGTCACCAAAGTGACTCTTGACAGATTGACAAGAATATGTCAATGCTTCTAATGAGCAAATGAAAATTATATTTTTTTTTCAGCTCTTGATTATATCATGTAAAAATATTCTAGATTTATTCATTACTTCAAAATTTCATATAGATATCGCTGGTAAGAAGTGTATCTGCAAATAATTGCAAAAAAGAAATGCCTTTTAATTCCTCTGACGGCATATATTGTGCCTCATTAGTCATATCATTCACACTGCATAGGCTTGTTTGCTTCTCTTCTGTCCACTATTCATCAATCTTATCAGTGAATCCTATATTTATCATTTTGTTTCCTGAAGATCGAGTTTGTTACTGTCGAAAGCTTGAAATAAAGAATTAAAATGAATTCTAGTTAATCTATATATTCTTTATGGCTTTATTATACTTTTCATATGTATATTGTTATGTATTCTATGGTCTCACCGTACAACTTTAGTCATTAATATCTAAGGCTTTGTTTAGATCACATGATGTATGCTTGTATTTTATCATACAAATGTGAAGTTTGTTTTAAACTACCATACAATAGGAACGGACCATTTAAATTGTCCTCGTTTTATCGCTACATAAAAGGAAAGCATTGTATCAGGCTGTTGATGGCAATGAGTTGTATTTTATTATATAAAAACTAATATTGTGATCACAATGTGAATATCTGGAGGTATCAAAAAAACATGAATCAACTAGTGATGATGATTTAATTGCCACTCAATCACATCAATCAAATCTTCTTTGGACGTCCATTGGTAATATGTCTAGAACGAACAAAGAATCAAGATATACAAGTTTAAAACTTTTTGGATCACCATTGACGAGAGTGTCTTCAAACATCAGTGATGTTCCTACTAAAAAAATCGACTGTCATTCGTTAAATATTAAAAATACATCGTCGAGATAGACTGTTGGTAATATTAACTGAAACTTTATGTAGTGATTTATTTTGTTTTTTTATACTTAAACATTAAAAGTGTAATGAACAAGCTTCTATTGTTTTCTTTCTATTTATATTTGGTAGATGGTTATTAATTTTTTTATTCTTGTTGATAATTTTCTCCTGTATTTTCTTTTCTAATAAAAAAAGCTTTTTGATATTATGAAACTTTTTTCTTTCTTGCTTCATCATACTTATTTCATACTTATGTAAAAATAAGTCATATTAATATTTTGATATTTGAAAAAACCTATTTATGATTATACGTGTATCAATTTAGAATAAAGAACTAAATATTTTATATATAATTCACTTATCTCTTTACTTGCAGAACGAATTCTCATTTCCTTATATTTAATTTTATTAATAATCAGTGTCTTTGTAATAAAGAATATAAGAACACTACTATTCTATCTTTAATTATAGATCTATTTAACATTAATGAATTAACTGATGAAAAGATGAATTTAAGTCACGATAGATTCTACGACCTTTTGAAAAACATTCTAGATGAAGTGCGTAAAAATATATATGAATCTTCGAGAAGTATCGTTTTTTCTTTTGAATGACTCTATAGAAAAGAATCACATAACAATAAAGCAAACAATCTCGTGATTCTTAGCAAAGATCTTTAGAGTATTGGTGTTGAAAAACTATCTTGGTTTTTTCTCTTTCAATTATTCTAACAATTACGAATTATGTGAATTTCCTTCGACTAAATGACTGTAGTTTGTTGTTCCTTGAATTTTTAATGGCTTAAAAAAATGGAAATAAATATAGGAAGATTCAAGGCTGACGAATAAACTTACTTTCCTCAGTAGATAAATTTCTTCCGATAACCACTATTTTTATATCATGATTTTTAAGATCAGTAATCTATGTATATACTATATTGTCTTTCCGATCGACCTCCATATTTTGAGAAATATCTTGCTAGACTTTCATTAATCAGAATAGCACCGAATTTCCGTTCCCTTGATCTATCTCATCACATAATGAATTAGTTAATCAGCAATATATAGTATTTCGAGATCGTCAATATGAATTGTGTATAGTAAATAAAATTGATTTACAACATGCATTATACTATCATCTTCAACAACAATCAGATGAGAGTAACATTAAAACAAGATTTATTATTGATATAACTTAATAGCAACAAGATGATGCATCAAAGAATTAATCTAAGCATAGAACTTGACTCAATCCTTCAACTTTCACCATCAATTCCGACATTGTTTGTTAAAAAATAGTTTCATTTACAAAATGAATATTAAAAACGAATTCTTACAGTGAAGAAAGAAAAAGTTACATAACAGAAAACAATTTTATCAGAAACACAATTGAGATTTATGATGAATATTTCATTTCGTCATATTTATATTAAAATAAAATATATGTATATTACTTTTCTATCGTTTTCATTATCTGTTCTTTTATTTTCTTAAACTGACTACACACAAATCAAATTAAATGTTGTACAAGTAAATATAAAAAAATAGACTTAATCGAAAAGAAACAATTCCAATGTTAAGTATCTTTCTTATACATATCGCCTCTATCCGGCATATCTAAAAATAATATAAATAATATAATTAGATTTTTTATCTTTTTTAAGCCTATACAAACCAGGTCCATTTGCTGTTAATGGAAATTGACAAGCATCACCTTTCCAACCTGATGGACATTTACATTCGCCTGTTACAACATCGCATAATTGAAATGATTGACATGAACATGGTTTACAACCAATACCATAGGTATTTGGTGGACAATCTTTTAAAAAATATGACATAATATTTTATATTTCTGAATTTTTAATTCATACCTTCTTCACATCGAACACCAGTTCGACCAGCTGGACATTCACATATACCTGTTTGAGAATTACATGAATTTCCATTACAATCGCATTTATTTAAGCATTCATAACCCCATTGTTCTGGTGGACATGCTTTAAGAATAAAGAAAATCTTCATATTTATTTTATATAAAATCATCTTTTCTTACCGATTTCACATCGATCACCATGAAAACCAAGTTTACATTGACATTTACCCGTTTTTGAATCACAACCATCTGATGTTTCTGTTGAACAATTACATGTGTGAGAACAATAATATCCATATGTAAATGGTCGACAATCTAAATGTAATATTTTACTCAATCATCAAACATTTTTTCTTAATATTCTTACCAAACTGACAAGTCGAACCATAATATCCAATAGAACAAGCACAACAACCTGTATTTTTATTACATTGAGCACCATTTTTACACTGGCATATTTCTGAACAATTGCGACCAAATGTTCCTTCAGGACATTCTAATTTTATTATCATGAGATAATATTATTATTATTATTATTATTTATGTCTCATCAATCAGACAAACCTTGATCACATAATTTTCCTGTTATACCCATTCCGCAGAGACAAGCTCCTGTACGCCCATCACATGTTGCTCCATGATGACAATTACATCGATGAATACATCCAGGGCCATACCAACCACGTTCGCAAGCTAAAGACAAAGAAAAAATTGTGACAAAACATAATGGTACAGAAAAAAAAATCAAATAACACACATCGTTCACAATATCGTCCGGCATGTCCTGAATGACATAGACAACGACCCGATAATGGTTCACATTGAGCATTATTCATGCACATACATTTTTGACGACAATTAGGTGGACTATAATAACCTTCGAATTGATAAATCAAATATTATCATACAAAGAAAAATATGTTTTATTTATTTTAATCACCTTCTGGACATGAAGATATTAAAGATTTTTTTCTTTGTTGTTCCACTAAACATTTTGAATCCCCATTACAAGATAATGAATTACATTCTCCTTCAATTAAAAATAAACAATCAATTATTTTGTTTTCTTCCATTAAACTTCATTTTACCTGTTCGTGGATGACAAATATTATCTCCTGTACATTGACATTTTTGCAAACACATATGTCCAAAGGTACTTTCTGGACATGAAGATTCACATCGACTACCTGTGAAACCAGATAAACAAAAGCAATGACCATCACGTGAATCACATATTCCTCCATTTTGACATGAGCATCGATGGATACAATCACGACCATAATAACTATTTGGACAATCTATCAATATAACAAATATTATATTTAAAAAAACATGAACATTTACATAATTTAAAGCGATGCACACACACAGAAAAAAAAGAAGCATTGAAGATTTATCAAATACTCACATATTAATATGCTAACTGTGTCAAGTAACAATTCAAACAATGTCTTTCAAATAAAAGCTTTTCTTCTTTAACTTACCTTCTTCACAACGAATTCCACGATGACCGGGCAAACATTGACACTTGCCAGTCTAAAGGATGATGACGTAAAAAAATAATATCTCTTTATGCATAAATCGAACAAAATCAAATATCATTTTTCTATTTAATATGTAATCGAATCTCTTTTTCTTTTTTTTGAATAAAACACAAAGCCTACCTACTTCCATATGACATGAAGCCGTATTTCCTTTATGACATAATTGGCATCGATGTGTTTCATCAATAATATTTCTTTCAATCACTGTTGTTTGATTACAAAACACTCCAGTAAAACCTGATTGACAATCACATATTCGCATACGCCAATTACATGTACCAAAGATGCATTGAGAACATGAATATTCACACTGCATACCAAAACGATTTTGTGGACAACGATCTAAACAAATAATAATAATAATAATAATAAATTTAAAAGATAAGGAAATTTTGATAAACTTACTATTAATTGAATCTAATTGATGAGAATATGCATGTCGTAAAGGAATTTTTCGTTGCACTCGATTTGGTTGCATTGCTATGAAGAAAAAAACAAAGAGCATATTTGACATGTTTTTTTATTCTTTTTACTGTCAAAATACATTTAATTTATCAATAGACATGTGCTTTTAAATGAATATTAACAAAATCAAATTCATCCGAAATTGATATTAAAGAAAACAGAAATGATATTTGATTTATTATTGAATTTGATCATATTTCAAATATATTTGACCTTCTGCTTTGTTTCACTTTATGATTAAATGTTTATTACCTAAATCATTATTTAGAACAATCGTTCTTTTTTCAACTGACCGAGATAGAGAAAATTTAAAACTTGTTTTCCTTTTAATAAGTATGTCAACACACACCTGTATTTTATCAAAAAAAAAAAACATAGAGAATAAGAACATTAGTTCATGGTCATCGATTTACAAATCAACCCCCATGAATAATAACTATGTGTGTGTGTAAATGTGTTTGTAATGATATCGTCACTACCCGTCAATAGTGAACACATTTTTTTTTCCTATGAAACGATGAGAAAGTATTGATATGAAAAAATCAAGTGGTGTACTCATTTATAACGAGCATCTATGATGGATTTCAATATATTATTCAATCATTCATCATCGTTGCTCTTTCATGTTTCATACATTGAAGTATACAATAAAATCATTTACACAATAATAGTCAATTATTTTCAAACGAAAAAAATTAATATTTTTTTATTAGAGACAAATGAATTCCTACCAATAGGACAACCATAATCATGAATGAGACGTGTCCATCCAAGACAACAGTGATAGATGGTCACATTTATTTCTTTTGTTATTGTTTGTTCACTTTGATAATATTCCGTTCTAAATATAGAAATCAATTAAAATGTAATATTTTTGAAAGAATAATCGAACCTATGTTCATATATTGGACATATACGACGACCATTAGAACAATTGCGTGACCATACTTTAACAAGATGATCATAACTTTTGAGACATGGAACAAGTTTAGTTACAGTACGAGTTTCAATTTTTGAACAGACATTTGGCCTTCAAAATAAATTTAAAAAAAAAATTTTTCTTGTCTTTTTTTTTCTCTATGACCATTTATCAACTAATTTGTTTCTATCTGGTTCTTGAGAAGAGAAACGAAAGAATTCAAATAATTCAGTTTATTTTTATCGCTCAAACAAACACCATCACATTCTTTCTAGAATAATGTCTTCTCTGTTTTTTTTTGTTGCATCTATCACAGTCATCTTTTGATCTTATCTATGTCAACGCGACAATAATAACATATCTTTCGTCAGCGTCAACATTTGTCTTGGATATATATCTATACTTTATTTCGTTAGACTAGATACTCACATGTCGCTGGTCAATTCAATATCATCATGGAAATCATCTTCGATATTTGCTGTTGTTGATAAAACAATAAGAAACAAAAGCAAAAAACAACTTGCTTGATTCATGAACATTAATATTATTTGTTTGGATGAATGAACAATATTAGATTTGAATCAATATATCAAATCACCATCTTCACCATTATCATTATTGTTATCATTACTATGAACAAATATCGATGAAAAATAAGAGAGAACAAAACTAAGATGATGATCGATAAAATAACTAAATATATATATATTTGAATGTGCGAAGAAGAAACAAATGACAAGTAAAGCGCAATTGAAGGACACGTGAACGAATGAATATGAGTATTGCTCTTTGTACTTCTATCACTGATTACGTCCGTATATGAGTTTGTGTGTGTATGTGTAAAGATACTACTTATACTGGTTAAACGATGGGCAAGCGGGACGCAAACGTAAAAAAAGAGAGTAAAAATGGTACAGTTCTCTCTCTCTCTTTTTTTTTCTGTCCCTTTCATTCAATGTTAGAACAACAACAACACTCAAGAGAACGATAGAGATCGAAAGAGAAAGGAGAGATTGCAAATAAAAGCATCTTTTTTTTTTAGTGTATACATGCACATAAACAAAAACACCAGACACATGTGTATTATGTTTGTCGTACGCGCTCCACTAGAATTCATTTACGTATAGAAAAAGAAAGTGCTACCTCTATCCCGCAACCATCAGCTACTTCAATGACATATGACAATAATAAATAATTGACTTTTCTTTTACTGCTGTTATAACGACCATTTCCACTTCGAACACAACTATACTCATCAATACACACGAGGCGACAACTGATTATGTAAACACATTTATACTAGAAGTGTACGCGTATACCCGAAAAAAAAGACTAACTCAATCGAATAGCAAAGATGTTATTCTCCCATGTGTCATACGAACCAGAGCGTTAGTTATCATATAGTATAAAGTAGTTTTCAAGGAATTTTCTGATCCGATCACTTTTATTCTTCCAAGTAACAAACAAGAATATTTTTGAATCCATGCTTTTATCATTAAAAAAAACGACTCCAATTGTCAAATGTTCTTTTTTTTACAATAACAACAATCGTTAGAAAATCAACTGTACTAGTAGAAAATTCTAAACGTTCTTTGGTAATGATATTTTTTTTTCGTGTAAAGTAGTCCGATATTTGTAATAAAACTTTTTACGAATTTCATGTTTATATTAGACGTATAATTTAAATCAAGAAATGATTGAACTATTTTGTATAACCATTCTAATATTTTCAAAATACTGAGTTGATAGCAAAAATCATTAAGGACGGCAAAATTTTAATGTTCTAGTTAGTTATTACGTGTCGATAAAAAAGAAATATAAATGCGTATTTGACTTATATTGAACTACAAAGTTGAATCGTTCATAATATAATACAATTGAAAAGAAATAACAGTACAATGACTCAGTCAAATTTCAGACAGAATATACATAATTAGATTAAAATGAGCATCAATATGTAACTTTCTTTCTTTCTTTCTATTTTAGAATATAATCATTCAACTGATTTGTTAAACTCATACCTTTGCATTTCTTTTCTTCTATCATAAAAAAAATGTATTGAATTATGAATCATGACTCGTTAATAAGTGTATCGTTTCTCTAAGACTAGCAAAATCTGAGTACTTTAAATTGAGAATAAACTTTTTAATTCGTTATTCAATGTTCACAACAGTGTAACTTCTTTTTATTAATCAATCTTTCCTAACTTAGAAAAAGTGTTACTCGCCTAGACCACTACGTTGTTATTCATTATTTATTCTGTTGTTTTACAAGTGTACATTTTTCTTGCTGAGACAATAAGTCTCAAATATATGATACTATATTTTCAAACAAATAAAAAGTCAAAACAAAATCTCTGCAAATTAAGATAAAATATAAAAAAGCAAACACATTTAGAGTTTACTATGCGAATAAAAAAGTCAGTTATGTTAGTTCATTTTTTAAAATTCTTTCCATTTTGCATACAGACGTCTTTCATCAGATCAACTTTGTCTAATAGATATGACTTGATTGTGTTGACATTGATAGTTTGGCTGTTATTCGTGATGGTATATTGTCTCTCAGAAAAAAGTCGTTTCGTTTGGCCTATCAATAACAAATGCACATCTCACCATCGATATCTATAGAAAAAAAATCGGACAATGAAAAAATCGAAAGAATTCTAATTTATCCTAAATTAGCATAAGATTAGAAACCACTTAACACCAATCTTGCTTGGAGGAAATTCTTTCCATATCATCGACTTTATCGCGATTAGTCAAATACAGGGTGGCCCGGCCCAGGCTTCGTAGTCATCCTATATTTCCTAAAAATCCTATAAATTTGAAAATCGTCCTATAATGTCCTCTATTTCAGCCATTTTCCTATATTTCCTATATTCTCCAAAAAAGTTAAGATTGATGCTTAAAATGCTTTAAATTTTGTCGGGAAAAGAAAAACATGCCCATTCCCATATAGTAGGTTCCGTCAACAGTAATGGACATAAGATCTATTGCGATCCTATCGATATTTTTCATCCGAGAATCATATTTATAACCACAATTCATTCATTCTTTTGAAACTGTTTATGAAGATGATCTATGTATTAAAGAGTTCACATGAATCTTCGTATAGTATTGTACTCTCAACCACTGCTGACTAGTCTGGTATTTCTTTTCCAGAATGAATCCATTAGAAGGCATTACCATATGCCACGATTGTCTTCAAAACAGCCATTGAGAATATATTCGTGTATACTGAAACTTCATATTTTGAGACTTGAAACCTATACAATGTTTTTTAAGGGATAACTAGTGGTTCAAAATGGAGAAACCACGACTTCTGCAAAATGGAATTTCACAAGCTGTTGTTTTTCGAGATATATTGATCACAATATTTACAACACTAATATTTACAATGAAGAAAAATACGAAAGAAATTTTTCTGGACGAACAAATGGTTCTTGTATAACAAGACGTTTTATTTTAGCACAAGTAAGATGTGCTGCATCATTGGTAAAACCTTGTGTTACAGTTGCTAATGGTTCATATCGAATGGTGAGTTGTGTCAAACGAGGTAAACTAGTATTTTTATCGAAGAGAAATTGTACGACATAATCAATATGTGTCCTCTTAAGATCGAGTTCGAATAGATGAGCAAATGTAATAAATGTAGACGAATTTTGTTTATTTTTTTGTGATTGCAAATTAGTAATGGATAATCTTTGGAGTAAAGGAAAACTATGTGAGATAACTTGAAATAATTCATTTTCAAATGGACGTATATCTAACATTACTAACCATCGAACTTTATTGAACATACCACCTTGAAAACCACTGGTTATAAATATAAAATCGTTGAAATAATATGGAAGTGAATAGACATGAGAATAGCCTCTATTATATATGAGTTTCTTATCAGCGTATGTATCTACGTGTTGATATCCTCTTTTGATGAAACTATTGAGAATATCGTTCTTCGATGGAAGATCAATTTTAACGTGATCATTTTTAATATAGGTGTGTATACTAAAAATAAATTTGTTTAGTCTTGGCATATTAATGAGAAAATCATTGTATAATTGAGTGCCATCAATATAAGTCGATTCATTTCTTTTTATCGAAAGAAATAATATTAATTCTTCAAGATTTAACATTCGACGAAGTAATGGAACAATACGATTGTTATAAAAATATGTATACCAATACGATGTTAATGATAAACATTTCAACTTAGGAAGATTTTTCTAAAGAAAACAAAGCAATCATTAAATTTCAAAGATAGATTTATTTATATTCAATGATTATATTTATTCTTACTGTATTATCTATATTCAATGATGAATCGCTAATTTCAATTATATGAATAATCAATATAGATAAATGTTGAAGACATCCATCAAGAAGATAAAGACAATCGTCAAAAGTATTTACAGTAATATTCGATTTAGTTAGAGTTGAAGATACACAAGTTGTTGATGGTAAATTAGAAAATGAAATTTTTGTGCGTTGAGTAAATGTCAAATCAATTAAACATTTATTAATAGATAGTATCAATGCAAACATGTTTAATTGATTTCCATCAGGTATTTCACTTATTTTATCAGTAATATCGATTGTAAGATGTGTAATTTGATTATTAAGAAGACGAAGAAGTATAGTATCACCTTAAATGTACAAAAATAAAAACACTGTTAGTCCATGAAAACAAATAAAAATTCATAATTATACCTGTTAAATGTTGTAGAAGTGTTTCTGATTGAAAATTGACTAATGATAACGAATTAAGTTGAGAATAATCAATAGTATCAAGAATATATTTCATAGAAAGTGGTTCAATAGTAAATTTGTTTATTTTATGATGAATTCGAGGTAAGACTTGTGTACAAATTCCATCGAAAATTTTTTGATTATTTACTGAAGAATTATGATAAAGCAATGGTTTGATTGTTAAATCTAAATGATGAATATAGAATCGATCAAGTACTAAACGATCAAATCGTTGATTCACATTCACTAGTGAATAGAGCATTTCAATTGTATGTAGTTTGTTAAGTATACGAAGTAATATCTCATCAGGTAAATCAAGTATATTAATATCATTGTTATTTAAAGTGTACATGTTCATATCTAAGTGATATTTTTTATCATGATCAATCTCTTCCTCCATATATATATATATATATATATATCTTGAACTTTCTCATGACCGTCTGTGTGAACAATATTTATATAGTCATGTTAGGCAATGATGAATGACTAATACTATTTTTTTTTCTTTCTACCTAAAATGTTTTTTTTTTTTCATTAACAAAGAATAGATATATAATGCGGCCATCCTTGATATGTTACAATAATTATCATCTATTAAATACACTATAGAAAATAGCATTATGTTTAGATGAAGTTAGAATCTATATTTAAAGTCTTTTTTCAAACCATATTGTTGATGTATTTTATTTAAATCCAATTAAAAACTATAAGAATATAAAATGACTTTCATTCTAATTTTTTTTCAATATATAATTAAAATTCATAAAATGAAATAACAAAAAGAACGTAGAAATCTCATCTTCATTATTCTCAATTATAGCTTTATTGTTTGATAAATCTTTTTTTTTTATTATATTTTATGTAACTTAATTTGTGTTCATTTTTTGTCATGATTAAAGATTATTTCGTTGAAAAATACTGTTATATGAAGTCAATTGTTTATTGTTCATCTTTACTGTATAATAAAAGATCTCCATCACATCATATAGACAATGCTGAAGATCTAGCTGATATAATCGGAAACAATCACATACATAAAATGAAAAAACAAACAAGCATTTTAGCAATAATAAACTTGTTGAAATACGACAACAAAAAAATCTTTAAATCAAATCATCTCTTTCTTTTTTTATGGAAAATGTTACGCATCATTTTCTGGTACTAAAATGTGCGACATAATTTTAGTCCACTTTTTCTTTTTGCAATATCTTGGGTGTGGATGTGCATGCTGATGTTCATATGAGTGTAGATTTTCTCATCAATGATATCCACATCCACAACGCTTGACAAACTTGCAGAGTATTCAAGTTCCTTAAAAATGAGATGTCTACCAGCTTTCTAGCACGTTTTTTGACAAAATTATAAGCAAAATACTTTTGAGAGTGAAATATGCTGGAAAAAAAGCGCTATTGTTCAAATTGACAGCAAAGTTTCTGACTTTAGAACCCAAAGACATGACGATGGACTTTGCTAAGGGGTACGTATTCTTGTTCAAAATTTTGTGCTCTATCTGGCTAGCTAGTATAGAATGTCAAAAGTTTGGTTTTTAGGGTCAGAAATTTGGAAAAATCAAAATTAACCTTGTTTTCCGAAAGTTTCTTTTGAGAAAACTGACCTAGAAAATCAATAATTTTCAGCTTTCAAATGCATAAACTTGTGCAGCTTTTCACGCTCTTTCTTTTGGCGTATAATATATCCGAGTCAAAAAAAAGTTTGAAGGGAAAAAATGATGGTTTTCCATGTTTTTCACTGCTTTTCAGTAAAAGCGATTTTCGGAGGTCAATATATACTCAAAAGTTAAAAATTTTATCATCAGAAGATAGTCTATGAAATTCTCTATCTGAACATGTGTACTAAATTTCTTTCAAGCAAGTCTCTTGGTTAGGAAACGCGAAATACTGAAAATGAAGACTTTTTGGTTTTTCGCAAGATCAGTGTTTTTCGTCTAACTTTGTCAAACTTAGTTGCAATTCCACGAGTTTTTCAGAGAGTATAGTACTCACTGTTGGTCACATTTTGATAAAAAAGTAAGATCTCTATCTGCTAAGAACGACAAGATATTGTAAAAACAGTAAGTAGGCTAAAATTATGTCGTTCACGATGGGTTCGTATGATAGAGAAGATTTTTTTTCTTATGCCCTAAAATTAAAGTAGCGACGCTTTACGATGCACATAATTCAAAATTTCAGTAAACACTTTTTTAAATATCTTTTCTATATGCTTTGCTTCGATAGGGCACGAGCAGACGATAACGAAAAATAAATTTTTAGCTTTTAAAAAAGCTTTTGGGGTGGAAGAAGTTGAAAATTTTGAAAAGAACCATTTTTGTCGTAAAAACGTATCATTTTTCGAAATATGTGAAATTTTATAATTCATTTCTTTTCTCAGCTTATTAAACTATTTTTTTCGGATGCCTGGAAGCTTTTTCAAAAGGTAAAAATCAATTTTTCGTAACCAGCTGCTTGAGCCCTATCAAAGTAAATAGAAAAGATACAAAAAAAATGTTTACTGAAATTTTGAATTGCATACATCATAAATCGTTGCTATTTTAATTTTAGAATATAGGAAAAAAATTCTCTCTATCACACGAGCCTATGTATCTCACCTGTAATAAGGACTAGAGCAAGGGGGAAACAGTAGAATTTTTGATTGTAAAGATTGCAAATGATTCCGAATGATTGTAAATAATTCCAGATGATTCTTCACATTTCTTTTTTTATCGAGCAATTGTCTATCTGAGATTTTTCAGCAAATAGAACATTTCTATCGTTGAAAATCACGAAAACACTGTGATTTCACTATTAAGACTTTAAAAAAAAGTGAATATATAAATGACCTATTTCAAGGATAAGGTGTCGAAAAGTCGAAGTTCCAGTAAAACGTCTTTTGCTAATTTTTTGGGATTGTTAGATGGAGTTGATCCAGTTACCTATGAAAGTGTTGTTTTTAACATTTTCGGATCGGTTTTTCTATAAAAAATTTCGAAAACACTATCATTCCCAAAATAGCCCTAAAGTGATGTATCACTATTTAGGCTATGACTAATATATTGTCATTTTTTATTTTTAATCTTGATTTTAAGTTCAAATATTTTAATCGACATTTCCGATAAGGCTCGATACAAAAAGAAGCTTTCAACGGATTTGAAAGACAATGTGATTTGACAGTCGGATCTACCAGGGCTAAGCCTACATAGTGATATATGGGCTTCAGAGGCAGTACCTTCCAAAGGCATCAACCCACGAGAGGCCCATGTTATACAGCTTGTCCGCAGGTAACGCACTCACGTTTTTTTCAACTTTCGATCTAATTTTCTTAGCAACTACAAAGCATAGAGCTTTGAAGTTTGGTGTATATATGTGCATCATAAAGCACTTTAACCTCTATAAGTTTCATGCAAATCTATTTCGTGTTTCGCTTTTTATACTAAAAATACATGCCGGTAACGCACTCACAAAAAAGACCCTTCCTCCTTGGAGTAGTGTGAGAACTTCTAAACTTTCTGCGAATACTTAAATTATAAATATGATTGCTAGAGTATAATTTATATAGGACAGTTAAGGCTCTCTATGTAGCAAAATAGTTTCGAGATCTAGTATGTTGTTGAGAAACTAGACAATAAGTATTGAGGTAACGTACTCACGGTTTAGTAACGCACCCACTCTTCGCTTCCTGATCATTTGTTCTTGAGGACTCACTACTTTCTACTATACGTTCCACGCTAGAGAAAGCCTACTTCTCTTTCATTTTTGAGCTATTATGAGTTTTACGTTAAATTATAAATATGATTCGTTATGTCCTTCAGGGGTAGACAGTAGGAATCCTTAAAAAAAGAACATTTTTCCTATAGTAGACAGAATCTTCTGATATATGTATAAAATACAGCAGGCAATGTCATAGGCTATGCTTCTGTTTCTCGGAAGATAAAAACAAATGCTTTACATGCTACTCTCGAACCAAATTTCTCATAGAAAAGCGCAGATGCCTTAAAATTCAGGCTATAGGGCAACCAAGGAATGGAACTTTATCTTGATACTTTTTGTATCAAGGGATTTTATACTTGTTGTTGATCATGGAAAATCGCCTATTAGTATTGAGTTAGCATAAGGAGCCTCTTTCCCGATAGCATCCACTTTTTGAAATTTTGGTGAACTTACAGACCTTAAAGATTACAAAGCAAGAACAAACTTTCATCGACAGGTGGGTCCATCCACTGAGGAAATTTTTTTTTCAATAGTATCATACTCTTTTCATGTTATAATATTAACATGTACGAAAAATACTAGTACTTGCTTAGCAATTCCAATCCTTAACGATTCAGTTCATTCTTCTATCTTTATAACAAAAGTACCATTTCTTGTTTTTCCAGTATTTGAAGTACGGGACCAAAATATTCCTGTATAATAAGTTAATATTTAGCTACTTTTGTCTGTTCTACTATTTAAATTACATATTTATTTGATATGCTAGAAGTTAATGGCTATATTTGAAATACAGAATGTCTGGTAACAATTCCTTATTGAGTTATGATGTTGATTTTTAATAAAATGCTATTGCAGTAATCTTTTTCTGTAACTTTTCTTACTTTTTTTTGCAGACAGAAGAGTTGTTCTATCATTATCATTATAGTGATCACTTTGGGATCTGTGTGATTGGCAAAAAACTGAGTATAATCAATCATAGGATCAAAAAAAAAACATCCTATGCTAAAATATCTGTTGCGTGAGTGCGTTACCAATTTTTTTCTAAATAGAAAGGAGTATCCGAAAAATAAGTCGACTATTGGATACCTCGTAGAAAGTTAACGAAGGATTCTGAGCGATTACAAGAAAATTTTCTGCGGTTGTAACGTAAAATAAACTAAGAGTCCTTTTTGGTAAGGCACTCACGCCAAAATTTATCAAGCTTTAAGGTAACTCCCATTTTCTTCCAACAATCATGGATCAGATGAACTCTGTATAAGAAGAAAATTCTAACTTTGTACATTCAAAATATGTACCAATGCTCTAAATTCAGTTACATTCGTAAATATTTTCGATCAATTTCTTTATGTGTACGAAAAAAGCAAAAAATATTTGAAAAGCATATCAAGTCTGTGTTGTGTATATGGGCTAAATCATTCGTTAGCGACGTGACATTGCAAACTTGAAGTATCCCTATCTCGGAAGTATCAGCTAGTTTAGGTGCGGTTTTTGCATGTTGTACGAGTCTCTATTTACTCTGAATGCCATGAAAAAATCAACACTCCAGCGCTTCGTTCAGAGGAGTTATTAAAGAAAAACTAGCGTTAGCGACGTGACACCCAAAAAGGACATCAACTGCTACTTGGTATAGTTTAATTTTTAAAAA